CCCCCACCTCTAATTCCTCTATACTTCACAGGCACTTTCTAAAACACAGTTAGGATTATGTGTACTCAACGATTCTCTCCTACCTCTGAGCATGTGTCCGGGTTCTCCAAACACTAGATGCAAATTCCTTTCTTGTTTTCCATTCCCTTCTTCCATTTACCCTCAAGTCTATGCCAGCAAATCTCCTCCAGGAGAGGCTTTTGCAAATATATAGAGTTCCATTCTACTTAATTAAATAAGAACAGGAGTCAGCTTTAAAAAAAAAAAAAGTTCTCCACAAGAAGATTCTAATAGCCAAGGTTTAAATCACCTCAAGCCAGACCATTCTGCCTTAAAGTAAAATAGACAGAGCTAGTGGGAGAACCTGTCTGAAAGTCACTTTACTTTTAGCAGACCTCACTTTAAGTAGACTAACTCACACCTTTTAGGGCTAGAGACCAGGAATCAACAATTTAACAAACCTGCAGATTCTGTGGTCGAGAACTACTCTAGCCAAGCCAGACTATTCTCATTTTCTTAATGAGATGAATGTATGTATTCTGCTCTCTATGCTACAAGCTTACAGTCTTTTCCAAACCCTCCCTGACCCCCATCTCTACTCTACCACCACCCACCAGACATACAAATCACATCTTTTTGCATGCCTGGCTTTGCTTATTCTTCCAGCAACATTTAATTGTCCTGGCATTTGTGTTTTCATGTTCATTGTTTGTCTTTACTGTAGCATTTCTTCTCTCCAGCCCTGTATTAAATGTAATTGTGTAGACTTTAAGCTCCACTAAGAGGATTGAGTTTTTCATGTGCAGGTACAATATCTGACTCACAAGAATACCTCCACACTGTCTGGCATATTTTTCTACAAAGACTAGACATCTGTTAAATGCTTATACTAAATAACAAAGTATTTCTAGCCTGAATCTCCTTGATAAATAATTACCAAACACAGTCCACAATGTTTTTGCCAAGAGAAAAAACACTCGAGAATTAAACTAGTTTTCCTTTTTTTTGTAAATCTTAAAACACCTAAATATTCTCTTGGTAACTAAGTTTACTCTGGTTTGCTCTGCTAAATCAAGTATGCTTTGTCTACTTAATAACTTATGAATACCTGAACTACTGTAAAAATAAATCAACTATGTACCACATGGATGTTTGCTCAGTCTTGTTCAGCTCTTTGCAACCCCAATGGACTGTAGCCTTACAGGCTACTTTGTCCATAGAATTTTCCAGGCAAGAATACTGGAATGGGTTGCCATTTCTTACTCCAGAGGATCTTCCCAAGCCAAGGACTGAACCCATGTCTCCCACATTCGCAGGAAGATTCTTTACCACAGTGCCACCTGGAAAGCCCAAATTAACTATAGTTCAATCAAAAAAAATAGTAATAAAATGCTTAGTGAAAAGTTATACCCAAGTTGTTAGCCATTTTTTAATGACCATTGATTCTCTTACACTAAATGTATAGATGGGTCAACACACTGAGAGAAACGGTAGAAGGCATTTAGAGTGTTTTGTTTCCCAAGTACATGAGCACAAGTGAAAGGTTAGAGTGGGATCTGATATTCCAGGTAGAAATCAAGTTCAGCTAATCCTGACATTCTAAAGTAATGAATTCAATGCTGTTCTCTACAATATTGTAAAGTAATTAGCCTCCAACTAATAAAAATAAATGGGAAAAAAATAAACTCACATTTAACATTAAAATAAATAAAGTAATGAATTCAAAAAGCTTACACAAAGCCACTCCCCAGTTGTTTCCCTGAAGGCCATGCCCAAATATGAACTCTCTCATTAAATTTTCTAAGATATCCCAGCCACCTTTCTACCTTGGTGTTCTAAAGCACAAACATTTGTCTGGTTTTATTATGTTTTTCATAGACATCTCCCACCCCAATGGACTCTAAACCCCTAAAATTAGCAACCAGGTGTTTTCCACATTTGTGATTCTTACAGTGAAAATTATATTATCTGGTGCATCAAAGGTGTAGGTAAATCCAAAGTGAGTGAGACATTAAAGGCAGTACATCAATTTTTTGGATGACAGGTACAATATAGTTTTCCTTTCAATTTACTTTATTAAAACCATATGCTAACTTCCATTTGCAGTGGAACTTTCATGTCATAGAAGAGCAAAGAATGACCCTCTGATCATGAAAAGACGGAATAATTCATCTTCTCTTTACTTCAGGTATACAGATTAGAGAGGCTGTTGAGAGCATGTTTAAATTGTGTGCAAGGTACTTGCATACCCCATACCTTAGTTTCCTCTTCTACAAATTCCTGGCAAAATTAGATGTTCTTGGGGGCTTCCCTGGTGGTTCAGATGGTAAAGAATCCACCTGCAATGTGGGAGACCTGGGTTGGATCCCTGGGTTGAGAAGATCCCCTCGAAGAGGACATGGCAACTCCTGTATTCTTGCCTGGAGAATCTCTTGGACAGAGGAGCCTGGCGGGCTACAATCCCTGGGGGCACAGAGAGTTGGACACTGAAGGACAGCACATAGCACAGCTGTGGGAAACAGGGCAGGGGAATAACAGTGGTATGTGGATTCTGAAAGAAGATATGCGGGAAGCTCTAAACTTTCAGCTAAAGATGAAAATTATTAATATGTGTGATTGATGGACAGAGAGGGAACATGTGTGCTTGGGTTGGGGAGCAGACAGAATGGAGTGGTTCTTACAGTTTTCAGAGACCTGTGCCTCTGAAATAAGAAGTATACACCAACATTTAGTCATGAACCAAAAAAGATGTTGAAGAAATGGTAACCATGCTAATGGAAGACATAAAGACCAGTGGCAGGAAGAATAAAAGGGAGGTAAAAGATTGCTTAGAAAAAAAAAGCTAATTGGCAGTACTCATTTAAAAATAAACTATATTCTGCTTCTTACACCCACATAAAAGTGAAATCAAACTTGCCAAAAGGAATTTGCCAATTGTCAAAGCAAAAAATTGGCAGCTCTAGTTATACTTGCTACAAATGAACAAAATGAATACTCTTCATGAATCACATTCAAAGCTGTCTAAAATCCTGAGTAGCATCCCAATAGTTGGATAGTCTATATTTTATTATTTTTTTATAGCCTGACTTGCTTTCACAACAGACTCAAATCATCTAAAAAAATTTTGTAAATTAAAACAATAAATTTAAAAGAGTGAGGGTTACATAAAATAAAAATAAAAGCTAGACCATGAATAGGAGATAAGTAGGGGTGGGAACATCATCCTGCTTTGAAACTCAGCATCAATCCTCATCACTCTGGGAAGCCAGAGATTGGTCTCTAGGTTTCCTGACAGTCGAAGAAGAAAGGGAATATAGTTCATGATACAGCTCTCTATATCTCTCAAGGAAAATTACATTATCAGTTTTTCAGAAGGTAGCATTTAAATTTTAGGTATCAAATTTAAATGAAAGAAGTGTTCACTTTTAATTCAGTGTATGCTATTGGGGGGGATTCCCTAGGAGCTCAGATGGTAAAGAATCTGCCTGCGATGGGGGAGACTTGAGTTCGATCCCTGGGTTGGGAAGATCCCTGAGGGATCTGCAGTATTCTTGCCTGGAGACTCCCCATGGACAGAGGAGCCTGGGGGCTACAGTCCATGGGGTTGCAGAGTCAGACACGGCTGAAACTAGAAAGCACAGCACAGATGTTCTTGACTAGATGCTTACATGGCACAGGGCAATAACCAATTAACGGTATTTAACCTGTTCTACTTGTCTTACAAAGACAAGAGGACATTGGGAGATTGTTTCTTCAGAAACATTTGGTTCCAGAGCTAAAGGTGCATGCTGAGAAAAATAGCAGAAGGAATCTAGAGTGTTCTAAAGTGAAAGGTTAGAAAGAAATTTTAAAACAAAATTCTATAATCTGATATTCCATGTAGAAATCAAGTTCAGCTAATTGCACGCAAGGTACATAACTAATCCATGCTTTGGTTTCCTCTTCTATAAATTGTGGACAAAAAGAAGAGAAAATGTCTGGGATTTCCAGGTCTACCATCTAGCTGAGTTGCCAGTGTACTTTGGCCCTTTAATACCATTGACATTCTGATTTCCCAGGGCACCATGGAAACGTGAGAGCACCCAGGATACTGGCAGTTGCAAGAGTGATGGAGGACCAGTGGGAACCTCGAGGACAGGTAAAAGGGAGAGGCACTCGGAGAAAAAAGGAAATGTTAAGTTGACGTGCAGGGAAGAGAAAAAGATTGGTAAGAAGACTAAGTCAAAAGTAACAGAATTTTTTATCTCACCCCTACAACAACAACAAAAGAAAAAGAGCCATTTCTGAGGTCTATTGATATGAGTTAAAAAAAAAAAAGAACCCAAACTACTTACTTCAAAAGTTCACTCTAATTATCCAAGCAGTACTACTAACTTTCACTGTACTGAGTAAAGGTTAAAGAAGCCAATTAGTAATTAAGAGATCCCCAGATTTTTAAAAATTTATTGATCAGTTAAATGTATAAGTTGAGGAATTGTCATAAAAGATATCCTTTAAAAATTTTGACCAAAAATAATCTGTATTTACCATTCCATAAATGAAAAAACATTTTAATGTAATGCCAAGGCTACTGTTAGTATGAGTGTATACATTCATCTTTGTGTGTGTGTATATGGCTGAAGATGGGGAGAAAAAAATTCTATAAATTAAAAAATAATAATAATAATGTAAACAACGATACAGTGAACTTATTCTATATTAAGCTCTATCTTCTTCCTACCACCCAGTTTGTTGGAAAGTTTCTTCCTAGGATATGAGTGTTAGTTATCTCATTGTAAATTTTAAAACAAAATTCTATAATATTATTCTTGTTTCAACAGTCTCTTTTATTCCAAAGACACTATTTATTGATAACATTTGGAAGCATTTGAACAACTAAGCTTTTTTTTTTTTGTCACAAGAAACAAAAATGAGTTTATCACCAAAGAAGTAGCCTGGTAATGTACCTATTGTAATAAGCTAAAAACTGGTATCATCTGGCAGAATAAATAAGACTCATCATGTCCTTCGGAGCCCATCCCCGAAAGGCCAACAAAAAGAATTTGCCACTGGAAACTCTAATGCCACAAGTTCCACGTAGCAATTACTTGCAGTTTCAGGAAGAAAAGCAAAGACTACAACTAAAGAAATTCCTTCTTCATAGGATGTTCCTAGTGGCCAGAATAACAGCAAACATAGAAAAAAAAGATATTGCTGACTACTACGAACAATTGTTTCAGTCAATTTTGAAATATCACCTAGGAGAAGCAGTGACAGGATTATTGCTCATATATCCTACATCCATTCTGCATATCCTGGAGTCCTCCAGTGGTACTTTTTACCAAATTCTTTTAGATTACCTGAGCCATAAAAAGGATGAAATGGAATTTTTTATCCAAGGAATGAAGATTATAGTCATGTCCCACAATATCCCAACAAGGCTGTTTATGCAGTGGCATGTTTCAGTAGTAAAAGCGCCGGTCATGTATCTAGATGATGTGACACAGACACAGTCCCTAGAAGAGGTCATGACAGAATTTCTCATCCAAACACACAAACTAGCACTTCACATTTTTAAGACTGTGAAATTGAGCCCTAAAGGACCAGGCGACAGTTTGCACCAAGCTGCACCTGAATTACTCCTCCCAGAACAAATAATAAAGTACTTGTGCAACTCTGCAGAATTAATGGACCCAGAAGGTTTTATAAACATGTACAATAAGCCCATACATGTCACATTGGATTCTGAGGTGGTATGGCCCGCTCCTTCGCGTTTCTAGGATGAAGAGAGATGATGTGGTCAATGTGGTCAAATCTCTTAAGGAATGTATGCTACTTAAATAAAAGGAAAATATGCCTAAAGTTCTCTCCTTAAAAAAGAAACAACATGGATATCTACACAAAGGTAATAGATTAATCTTTTTTAAAATACATTTAATTAAACTTGAAAATTTATCTGGTCTAATATTAAATTTAACGCATTATTTTCAAAGGTGATGGGTTTTATTAAGGTTATGTTTCTCAAAGGCTTGTATCATTTTGATGGAAAAACTTAATTTTTTAATGAAAAATAGAGATGAAAGAGGATAAACACTAGATTCAGATTCTCATTCATTCCCTCAACCATCAATGAGAAGCTGTCACCACATAGTAATGTGTTCTAAGAGTATACTATTTCAGGGAAAAATACAGCCCTTCAGTTGATTTCAACCTAAAGTTGGAGGCAAATATGTGTAAAACTAAATATGGTTTATGATATGATATGTGATTGCTATTTCAGTAGCAGTAAGTAGGAAAGACTGTAACAGCACAAGTGAGGGAGTAATCTCTTTATGTATGATCCCTGAACTCAGAAAACAAAACCTAAACTTTCAAAATAGTTTCAAACTCTCATATTCTAGATGACATAATCAAGAATATTGAGGCAATTATAAAGCTAAAGAACACCATAGTTTTTGGAGATGACCAGAAAATACACTGTCAGAAAGCACTGAATTCTTTCATGCAAATCATTTACTGAGCACCATTCACAGGACAGACACTTATGACAGGGATATGTGAGGATGATTCCTCCCTTGGAAAGTCTTCGTAAGATAAACAAATTGGTTATTTTTCCATTTAATTTCTAGATAGCAATTGATTTTCAAATCAATTATTTATTTCTGGCTGTGTTGGGTCTTCGCAGCTGCTCGGACTTTTCTCTAGTTGTGCTGAGTGGGGGCTGCTCTCTGGTTGTGATATGCAGGCTTCTCATGGTGGGAGCCTCTCTTTTTGCAGAGCACAGGCTCTAGCGCATGGGAGTTTCTGCAGTTGTGGTTCCTGGGCTGTAGAGTGTGGGCTCCGTAGTTCTGGTACACAGGCTTAGTTGCCCTGTGCCATGTGGGATCTTCCAGGACCAGGGATCAAACCCTTGTCTCCTGCGTTGGCAGGCAGATTCTTTACCCCGAGCCACTGGGGAAGTCCCCATTAACTAAGTTCCAAACAATTTTTTTAAAGCATTGATTGTAACTTCATTGTAGCTGGAGAAGGGTCAACATACTTGTTTAGTATAGCTCAAATGAACAGCACAGGAATTTTGTGTAAAAGTGGGACAGTCAGAAAGTTAATAAATATGTACTGGCAACTGGAACCAAAACCCCAAGTCAAACTACAAATTAGACAACAAAGGGTTAAGGGGTTTTATTAGGTTCAAGTTTGTTTTCTTTGTTTCTAGTTGCTAAGTTGTGTCCAACTCTTTTGCAACCCAATGGACTATAGCCCACCAAGCTCCTTTGTAAATGGGATCTTCCAGGCAAGAATACTAGAGTGGATTGCCATTTCCTCCTCCATGGATAGCAGTTAATTATATGCAGTTCCTATACAACCTATTTCAAGTTGGTCTCCCCCTTCCTTTACTAAGGTTAATGCTTTTTTGCACTATTTAAAATTTTCTACTTTAAGCAATTAAACAACATAAATGTCTCACTACTTCAATGATATGTATCCCCAGATTGCTACAATATCCTATGAAATAGACTTTGGACTGAATAGAGGAAATATTGTTATATCATTTTAGTTTACTGTTTATTTCAGTCACTTTTTGGGAAAAAAAGCCATTTCAGTACTCACCTCAGATTTTTCATATGCAGAAAATATGATTTGTTCCATATCAGAATCAAATTTCAGGAAAGATCATCCTATTTTTTAATTTAGTAAAATAGGTTTAGAAAAAGGATGGCATTTTTCACTTTAAGCTGAACTTGAAGTTTCTTTCATTTAAATTTAATTACAAAAACTATATTTAGAGAAAAAACCCTTCCAATTAAGAAAGAATACATAATTTATAAACATTTTATCAATTTGGTAAATATTAAACACCTAATATTCAGCAATGTGCTTTTAGTCTTTGAACTATGAGAAGTCACCTATTAGATACTAAGTGTTTACTTGACAAAATGAGTTTAGAGTAAAAGCTCTCCAGGCCACAAAAAAAAAAAAAAAGAAAGAAAGAAAGAAAGAAAAAACCAGAAGAAGAAAGGAAGAGAGGTAGGGAGAAAAAAAGAAAGAGAGTAAGGTTCAGTCTTAGTCTTTGAATGCATGTGCGGAAAAGGTTTTGAAGGGCAAATGAGCATATTTAAGTGAACAGATACAAGCAAAAGCAGGAGAGAGAAAATGAACCATAAATGTTCATTAGAGCAGATGAGTCCATTTAACAGGGTAAATTTTGTTTGGGAACAATATTTTCTAAAGTGAATAGAAGTAGTTTACAAGTAAAACTACCTATCTGAGTATATAAAAGTATGGCACATTATGTTCTCAAAAAAAAAAAAAAAAAAAGACCACTGCAATATATCTCACCCCATATGCTCTTAGAATATGACCTTAAACACTTCTCATCGCCTGGTGGGTTCTGAGTCCCTTCTCCTTGAAATCAGGTAGACCTTTGTGACTGCCTAGACTAACACTACAACAGAAGTGATCCAATGTGACCTCCAAGGTCTTAAAAATCACCTTGCACTCTGCCTTGATCACTTGAATGGAACCTAAAATATGCTGTGAGCAATCCAAGCAGGTTTCTAGATAACATCCCCAGCTGAGGTTCCAGCCAACAGCCAGTATCACCACTAGACATGTGACTGAGTGAACCTTCGGGTAATTCTAGACTCTAGGCTCCCAGCCAACCCTGGACTTCAAGCCAGAGCATCTGACACTGCGTGGAGGAGCAGCGTAGAGATGGACTGTTCCCACTGGGCCCTGTCTAAGCTGTAGATCTGTGAACAGCAGAAATTCTTGTGTTGACTCAAGCTACTAACTTTTGAGTGGATGTTTATAATAGCAGTCTGGAACACCAATATATAACAGCAATAATTTTATATGTATACTTTATTTATATATATGTGTTTATATATGTATTTTTATATATTTGTTTATTTATATATGTACACATGTATTTATTCACTCATGTATGCAACTAATATTTTTTAAATATTTACTAGGGGACCAAGCACCGTGCTAGTCACTGGGTATAGAAGCAGAAGTAAGATGTGTGTAATCATAAGGAAATTATAACCTTCACTGGGGTGAGAATTACTTTTTGAGACTTCCTAGCATAGACCTTTTATTGATCTATAACACTTTCTGGTGTGAAACATACTGACAGAAACTTAATTCATCTAGTCAAAGAAAAACATAAAAAACCTGAGTCATTTTTGAAAGAAGTTATAGAAAATTTCTAAATGAAAACACTGATTTACTTAGTAGACTATCACTTTACATTTAAAGGATTTTTGAAGTATCAATTGTGAAAACTGGAAAATAAGCACAAAGTGAGTATAAATAAAACTACTTATTTGTTAAGTGAACATTTTAGAATGAGTTTATTCATATGAAAGTAGTTACCTTCAGTAGAGTTTAAACTCATTTCAGTGACGGCATCATTACTAAAAACATTGTGTGACTCTTTTATGACAGATAAGAAGGTTCATGAATCAAAGGGAGTTAAAACATCTTAGTGATATCTAGTTTTTTGGACCCCAAATAATATATCTTCCAATTTGACTGGTGACCTGCTTCCCTAACAGTTCAGTTGATAAAGAATCTGCCTACCACGCAGGAGAATCCGGTTTGATTCCTGGGTCGGGAAGATCCGCTGGAGAGGGGATACGCTACCCACTCCAGTATTCTTGGGCTTCCTTTGTGGCTCAGCTGGTAAAGAATCTGTCTGCAACATGGGAGACCTGGGTTCAATCCCTCCAGTGGGAAGATCCCCTGGAGAAGGATATGGCTACCTACTCCAGTACTCTGGCCTGGAGAATTCCATGGAGGGTATAGTCCATTTGGGGTCACAAAGAGTCGGACACAACTGAGCCAGTTTCACTTAATATTCAACCTTCATTCATAGAAAGACTTGTTTTTAAATATTGAACTCCCTCTCAAAGGAAAATCTGCTGACACTGAACATATTAAAAGGGTGTGACACTGCCTCCAAGGGGAAACACAAATAAGTTTCCAATAACAGCTGCATTATTGAGAGTCCTATAGAGCTCACCAATATCATATCTTTAAAGGGGACAACACTCATTTAGCTGTGTCTGTTTCAGTATAATGCTAAAATGCAGCAATACTATACTCATATCTTACAAATGTGATTTAATTTGATCAAATCCAAAAATGTAGCTCATTAAACATTAGAAAGTCTCATAAGGTAATTTTCACCCCAATGGGGATTATAGTTTCCTTACAATCACACTTTACATAAAACCAGGGCACAGAAGTTAAACTGAAAAGAAAATGAGCATTTAAATACGGAACATACAATGTTCACTGTCCATGTAACAATGACCATGTAACACGTTCTCATATATAGTCAAGGAACATATGACATTTATATGGCCAGCACCATTCTAATCCATTTGTTTTGATACCTATAACTTTACAACAGAGTGACAGGTTGGCTTTCTTCTTGTTTCAATGTGACCAAGGACTTTCAGAAAGATTATAGTTTTCTTGAAGGACAACTGAAATAATGTTATTTGGAAGAAAAAACTCTCCCAGGGTGAATTTTAAAATTCATACTGTCTTCATTTTAATTAAAGAAGCATCTGGATTCCTTCCTGGAGAATTATTGCTTAATACAAAGAGATTTTTACATTCAGTGACTTTATCATAACTTTAACACCATAACACCACATTTCAATTCAGTGAAACCTATCTCTAGCAGAGAACTCCCCAAACTTCCATGAGGAAGTGGAAATGGGACAGCTTAACACCAACTGAAAAAAGCAAGTACTTTAAGGCTATTTTACAGCTGTAGGGACTTAATGTAGAATTAGAGTTCTCCCCCTTGTGGTCAATTATGTAAATTTCCAGACTACCTGCTGACAGGATTTATACAATAAACACAGTGCATAGTTTTCAAGAAAATATAAAGAGAAACCTCAAAGGTGTCTGTCAAATGTCTGTTCTACCCTTCCCCCCAACCCCTCACTGCTTTGCAGAAAAAGACATTAAGCATTTTGCCCACAGTAAAAGCAATAGTTGGTAACACTAGTCCCCGATCTCCACTTCATCACTTTAAGTAATTAACTGTAGTCAGGCACGTAGTCATGGCTAGTACTCTAGATTTGACTCTAGGTGCTAGTGGCGCGAGTGGCAAAGAACCTGGTGCCAATGCAAGGGACTTAGATGTGTGTTCGATGATCCCTGGGTCAGGAAGATCCCCTGGAGGAGAGCACGGCAACTCACTCCAGCATTCTTGCCTGGAGAATCCCATGGACAGAGGAGTCTGGCAGGCTACGGTCCAGACGATCACTAAAAGTCAGACACCACTGAAGCGATTTTAACACAAACACAGCTCTCTTCACTACTACGCCACACCCCTTCTGTGCTCCAGCCCTCACATAATGCCTTTTCTAAACATCTGACTGACATCTCCATCTCCACGTGTTCTGGATAGAATTCATCATTCCTTGTCTCTGTTATCCCTTCAGTCTGCTCCCTGCATTCCCCATTACTATAAAATGGACACTCTCCACACAGTTGCTAAATCAGAACTCGAAAGTGAAAGTTGCTCATTTGGGTCTGACTCTTTGTGACCCCGTGGACTATACAGTCCATGGAATTCTCCAGGCCAGAATACTGGAGTGGGTAGCTTTTTCCTTCTCCACGGGATCTTCCCAATCCAGGGATCGCACCCAGGTCCCCCGTGTTGCAGGCAGATTCTTTACCAGCTGAGCCACAGGGAAATATCCAAGAATACAGAAGTTTGTAGCCTCTCCCTTCACCAAAGACTCTTCCGGACCCAGGAAACAAAATGGGGTCTCTTCCATTGTAGGTGGATTCTTTAATAACTGAGCTATCAAAGAAGCCAAAAAAAGAAAAAAAAATCAGAACTTGAGTGTTGTCCTAATTTCCTCCCTTCCTTTTTATCTCACTGAGGCAATCAGTCCAAGGCCCACCCATTTTTTCCACAGTGTTTCATGTCTGGCCTTGTTTTTGTGACATCCTTAGGGATCTCCTTCACTCCAATCTTTCTTCCTCCTCTCTGTCTTTCTACTCTGTGTAGTATGTCTATCAGAGTTAAAGGCAATATAGCAGGAGAGGTAGAGAAGCCACCTATGGCACTGAACTGCTGTATTGAAGGCTGGGTCTGAGAGTTTGTAGAGCCGTAATTTGCTTCTTTACCTTTTTGCACCTCAGTTTTCTCATCTACAAAGTGAGTGCAGTAAACAGTACCTACATTATAAGATTGGTTATGGATACTGCATGAAATAATGGTGTAAAGATCCTAGCATACAGTAAGTAATAATAAACATTATTTTTCTGATCAAAATTCTTCAATGGCTTCCATTTCATCAAGATAAAAAGCAAAATTCTAAAATGATCTCCAAAGCCTTGATTCTCTGATCCTTGCTTACTAAGTGACCCACCCTCATCTGTAACTATCCTCTTTCTCACACGTTGTTCTGTAATGATTTCCTAATATTTTTATGCTTTTTGTCTAACTTCCTTCCTCACTTCTCTCAGCAAAATTCTGCTTATTGATTAAATCTTATTTCCTCTGTGAAGCCTGGTGAATTCAAGATACTCTTTTCTGTCTTCATTGTACATGATCCTCAACCACATTTTGGCAAGTCTTCTGAATTATTGCTGCTATTTAATGTTTTATTCATTTCCCAACAACTTGTAAACAATAATCATGAGATTTTTTTGATATTTGTATCTTTACCTCCTCGTTTTTAAAAGGAATCACTTAAAATATCTGTAAGAATTTCTCCATAAGGTTAATTTTACTTTTATTAAAATGGTTATGAAATTTCAATATATTAAAATATCCCTATCTGACCCATCAGGGTTTGGCCATTGTTCATGAAGCTCTCTAAAATAGCAAGTCAAAACATGGTGACACCTTCTCTGAAATCTTCAGTTTTAAGCAGATAATAATTTCTTATTCCCAAATTTGGAAGGATACTAGGAATATATCCTGGGAGCGATTCAGTCGAATTTTTTTATATATATATATAATACTACCCATTGAAAAAAGTTCATTCCCAATTCACTTAGTTAAAAACACTTTCTGAATAAACTACTAGTAAAGTATATGACCTTTATTCCATATTTAAGAGTGACTTATTTATGTTCTTTAAGTCCTTTTTTTAGTATCTATACTTGCCTGTTCTTTGAGACATACTTTTGATAAGACTAAAATTTATACCCATATTTGCTTAGGTTATTATAAAAGTATAAATTTGATTCCATTTTAACTATGTAATTTGCATTTCTGATCTGTTTTTATAATACTCAGCTATTTTTAAGGACTTTTTTTTTTAAAACAAGACATTAAATGTAAAGTGTTGATTTATGAAGGGAAAAATAAATGTCTGCGTACTGAATATATTTACATTTTTACCAAAATCCACACTAAGGTAATGATCTCCTCTCAGGGACCTCTCTGACTCAAGTCTCACCTTTCTCCTCCCTCTCTTGCCAGTTTATATTCTACTTTGCATTTTGAAATAAAAAATAATAGACTGCTCAACAAGATGGTGCATTTTACCGTAGATTAAAAACTACACACCTTGTAACATTTTAGTTCTTTGATTCTTCACTTTCAGTCCTATAAAGTGACAGTTCTTAAGCACATACCCTATTCTCACCAAAATTAAAAAAAAAAAAATTAAAGCAAGATGACTGTTCTCTTCTATGTACTCTCATTATGTGCTCTTGAACAAGTGATTTATTCCTTCAGGGATCTCTGCTCATCTACACTGTAGAATCTACAAGCATCATAAAAAAAGCACATGAGCCCTTGAACTTATCCAAAAACATGGGCAAAAGGAAA